TTTGTTGGTTTTAAAGGAAACCCAGAAGGAAACCCATTTATTGGGGTTCGCCTGAAAAAGACCCCCCCCCCCCGCATGTGAATCTGCCGGCCAGGGTGCATGACACTGGCGCTGGTGTCGCATCTGGCCATGCAGCTGGCGCGGAACGGAGCGGGGTCGGGGATCCGACAGACCCAAGAAGTTCAAGAAGCCGTGCTCTGCACTCCGCCCCAAAAGGGGCCAACCACCTGGGCCATTGGATGGGCAGCTGTTTTTTTGTTTTTTTCTAGGTCCGGAACCTGAAGGTTTGGGTGCCGATGAACCTAGATGTTGTGGGCGGCATGGCTCCATCCCTCGCTTTTTATCTTGAGGCGGGGGGTCCACTTTGAGACCATGAACAACCCCAGAAAGGACTCAGTCGGGGCTTGACGGCGGCAACTTTTGACAAAGCCGGCAAGATGGTGGAGAGCTCGTAAGGCCAGGCTTTGCTTTCGAGACCACTTCCAGAGAGGGCCCAGCACACTTGCGCTCCAGATTGCCTGGCCGATCTGGCGTCGGAGGATCCGTAATGTTGACCTTTGAGCCCTTTTTTGCTGTGCGCGCCGCAGCAGTTTAGCACGGACTTCCTGATCTCCCTGGTTTAAGTAATGGCAGGACGCAACCTACAGAACCCCCAAGAATGTCCATATGAACCATGTGCGCAACCTTTACACATGTATATAGGTAGAACCTTAATTTTCTGGGGTTTGGTCGGTTGCCGACGACAGGCTTAGCGTCTCTGAACCAGATCGGCATGCAGCTTGGAATGCAGGAAGGGTATGAGCGGCTTCTTGTTGCCTCGGTATCAGATGGTATAAGCATCCAGGCTTGTCACAATTTATTGACATAGGGTGGGGGACTGCCAAACCCCCAGCAGTGTTTTGAGGTCTTGATTGGAAAACGCACCCATTGGATCTTCTGGAGTCATACCTCAGCAATCTGTCTCATGCGCATGAGCCTTGTTGATCCTTGCGTCGCCCTATCCATTTGTCATGCACACGTAGTCCGATGGCCCCTCCAACATGAGTGTCCTTTCGGTTTCCCGCTCCCCCCAAATCACCCTTTCAATGGCCAGGGACACCCCCAAGAGTAAGTGTGGACACCATAGGCGTCCTTGTTGGTTCTTTGGCTCGAAAATCCATGGCCCTGGTTTACCTGGTGGCTTAATCATCTACCGGGGCCATCTATTCCTGGTGGCCGCAAGTGATCCCTTTCAATGGCTAGGGACACCCCCAAGAGTAAGTGTGGCTGCGAGTCAATTTATAAGGTCCGGAACAGGCTCCGGAACCCACATGCGATCCAGACCTCCGTTCCAGACCTCCGTTCCAGACCTTGCCTAGAAACATGTTCCAGACCTTCCGTTCCAGACCTTGTCACGAAAGCTAGCTTTAGCTAGCTGAAGTTTCTCCTTGCGTAAGCAAGGTAAGGGGCTCAACTGCCGAAAGATTGATTTTTTCAATTATTTGAGCCGAAAAGATTGAAAAACATCAATTATTTAGACCCCCCCCCCCCGGGTCTCAGGCTCGATTCCTCCCTGGTCCATCCCCCCCCCCCGGGCAGTGGCTCAGTGTTCAGCAGTCTCGGTTTGCCCGTTTTGGACTTGGTGCTACGAACTTTTACATGTTCCACCGATTCAGCTTGTTCATTTGAGACCTCAGTCTTCTCGGTAAACCACCTCGCAAGAATCTTTGCACACGCAGCATGCAGAACCCAGAGGTGCTTTCAGACAGCTTCTGACGCCTCTCGTTGTTTTCATTTTTCAAGGTTTGCCACGCCACCATGTGCGTTTGCGTGTCGCATCCTACGAATCTTGCCGGGCCTCTCGTTGTACACAAGCTACCTATGAATCCACTCTGTCACCGACCCATCTCATGCAACAACTGCTAGCTTTCGTTCACCCGCTCCTCAAGTTTTTGTATATGTCTAGTTTAGAGTATTGATTCAGACGGTCAGGTGATTTGGTAGGTTATTGACCCCCCCCAATACTACGCGTTAAAGCTGGTGTTCGAGAGAAGCTTGAGGTGCTAACGATGGGATTTGCTTGTTGAGCTTTGGTGGTTAGGGCTGCGTGGCTTGTAATCATTGGGACTTGGATGGAATTGGGCAGCGGTTCTGTTAACAGATGTGTAACGGTTCGATACCGCTCTCAGTCGTCACATGGTTGAAACGACCATATTTACATACTGCTTGCTAGCATTCCCAAGTGCAAGCCACTCGCGTAACCGTTCCAGACCCCGTTCCAGACCCGTTCCAGACCCGTTCCAGACCCGTTCCAGACGTGTTCCAGACGCAGCGGAGCAATTTGCCACCAAGCCCACATGCGCACACATGCCCCATGTAAGTAGCTGCATTTCTTACGCGCCCCAAGAAGCCTTCAAGGCCGCGCGCCCCTGGTCGTTTCATCCATCCATCTACCCATCCATCAATTCATCCATCCATCTATCCATCTTACACTACACGAACTGTGCTTGAGGACTCCACACATGTCTTCCCAGAGGTCCGGAACAACCAACCTTCCGTAACTGACTCGTTCCAGACGTCCGCGTCACCGCGGAACGTTCCACACCAGAATATTAACCCACACCCGTGTGGACACCATAGGCGTCCTTTTTGGTTCTTTGGCTCGAAAAACCATGGCCCTGGTTTACCTGGTGGCTTAATCATCTACCGGGGCCATCTATTCCTGGTGGCCGCAAGTGATCCCTTTCAATGGCTAGGGACACCCCCAAGAGTAAGTGTGGACACCATAGGCGTCCTTTTTGGTTCTTTGGCTCGAAAACCATGGCCCTGGTTTACCTGGTGGCTTCATCATCTACCAGGGCCATCTATTTCTAGTGGACACCCGTCCACTTTCGCCGGCCGGTTTCGGCCGTTCTTTTCCTTCTCCCGAGGAGACGCCCGTCCAAGCTCGAAGCTGAGCCCGGCCGGCAGAAGTCAGAGTCACTCAACGCCAAGATTTGTCCAAAACGAGGAGGAACACAACTGGATCACGTTGGTGAGCAGCTGGAGATGCAACACCATACGCTTTGGACCGAAAACGATCTGACAGATGCATCCAGCTTAGTCAGAGCGGCCTCAAATGCCCGATTCACCGCTGTTTTTTTGGTGGGTTGATGGGACCCCTGGCCCAAAAAGGTGATACTTGCACCGGAAGGCCTGGTTCTTCAACTGCCCAAGAAAGACTCGGTGTTTTTTAAGGCCGACCTCTTGAGGTTTCGGTTGTTTGTCCCCCACAGGTCATAGCGGGCCAAAGAGTTCGCCTGGTTTGTTCTGAAGGGTTGCGACTGGTGAGCCACTCTGAGGGATCCCCTTTTGGGATGGGATCAAAGAAGAAAATGCAGATCAAAATGATTCACAGGTTCTAGAATTCTGCCTGACATATGTGCAACCAAAACAGCCTGACACGCACTTGATGGCGACAACAGAGCAACATGCCGCTATGTGGTTTGAACTCCGAGAAAACTGACCAGTCCGGAGTTGATGCATCTCACCCTCCGCAGAACATCAAGTCGATTTAAGTTGCCGTGTGTGGAAAAAGCAAGGCCAGGAGTTCATGGGGATTCGGTGCGGGGTGAGAAGGGCCACGTGCATGTTCTCATGCTGACTCTTCTTAACCCGTGCCCATCGTTTTCCCGAGTAAGGGGTCTTTGTGTCGATTGGCCTCAACCAGACAGTCACACCGGAGCCAACAAGTAGCACAGCAACTGTCCTTTTGCCTTCTCCCTCAACACCATCCGAAAGGGCAGCCGTGAATTTCGTGCGAACCGCGGGTATTCAAACATCCTTAGTCCTTATTGTCCCTTTCAAGCAGAACCCGCCAAGTTCTTTGAACCAACCTTTCCAAAAGAATTGCCTCTTTGTGCCCGTTTTGAAAGTGCTCTAGGGCCACGCCAGATCATGCAGCCAGGTTTACGCCATGTTTGGCCATTGCATTGTTCGATGCGGCATGTCCGCTTCGGTTCAGACTCAGAAGATCAGTGACCTTTGCGAAATCCTATAGGGTTTCCTCGAAGGGCATTGGTTTTTTCAGTCCCCCCCCTGAAATCAAAGCTTTTGGGTCCATTTTGAGAAACGCCCTCCCGGGCTTGTTCTATCAGGTGTCGGCGAGGGCGCATGGTGAGTTTCTACAATGCGTTACCAGGTTCTCACTTCCTGAGTTCCTGGACCTTGCAGTAGTACCAGATAGTGCCAGTTTAGTGGCAAACAGCAAGTCCGAGCGATTTTGGCCACTCGCACTCAGGAAGTGAGGGTTTTGATGTGTAGTGATGTGTTGCGGTGCTTGTTTTTCTCGAATGTGAAGGAAGTTGAAGGCGGAAAGGCCTTCCGCACATTCATTTTCGAGGCCCTCCCAAAAAGACCATCATTCTATGAAAGCCTGGTATTGCTTTCAGGGAGTCTCAACGGACCGCCAAATACCTGGTGATTCGTGTTGGTTCCATGTGGCTGTGGGTCAAAACCAATGGTACCATTTTTGGGTAGGTGAATTCACCACCCATTTCAGAACCTATTTTACTGGGGATTGTGATGTTCACTGGGGGTACAGGCTTTGGATTTTGACCCATGGCCATATGTGGTTTGCTTTTGGGCTGATCCCAAAAGAAAGAAACCGCCAAGCTCTAGCGAACCGGTCTCTTTTCTTTGGAGGAGGTTTGGACCTTAAAAGAAATGGGTCTTTCGGTGCACTCGGCCATTCCCCTGGTAGATGATTAAACCACCAGGTAAACCAGGGCCATCGATTTTTCTACCAAAACCACCAAAAAGGACACCTATGGCAGTTTGTTGCCTGTCCAATCAGCCTTAAACCACCAGTTAAACCATGGACCAGTTAAACCAGTTAAACCATTAAACCATCATTAAACCACCATTAAACCAGTTAAACCAGTTAAACCAGTTAAATCCTTAAACCACCAGGTTTGGACCAAAAGAAATGGGTCTTCTCGGCCATTGCCCTGGTCCTCTCCATGGCCCATTTCCGTCCGCAGGAGCTGACGAAGGCCCAGGACGCCTTCACCGCGGCGCAGCAGAAGCGGGCGGAAGCCCACGGCCCGGGGGCCCGAGCAGCCAGCGCTGCGTGTTCCTTGGCTCCCTCCGATTCCTCCGGTTCCTTTGCAGCTCTTGGAATTTTCTTTTTTAGCTTTTTAGTTTGGTGGTTTCCACGAAAAAATGGTTAGTGTTTTGTTTTTTTGGTGTTAGTGTTTAGCGTTTGGTGGTAGTTTCCACAAGGATGTGGTTAGTGTTTGGTGTTAGTGTTTAGTGTTTGGTGGTAGTTTCCACAAGGATGTGGTTAGTGTTTGGTGTTAGTGTTTAGTGTTTGGTGGTAGTTTCCACAAGGATGTGGTTAGTGTTTGGTGTTAGTGTTTAGTGTTTGGTGGTAGTTTCCACGAAAAAATGGTGAGTGTTTGGTGTTAGTGTTTAGTGTTTGGTGGTAGTTTTCATTTGACCCACAAAAAGTTGAACTTGTAGCACGGGATTTGAGGACAGCCCAGTTTTGGGCGCCTCTTGGGGAGTGCTGCGTGCCTCAGTCATGCACAGAGACAGGCAGGCAGGCAGACAGGCAGGCAGGCAGGCAGGCAAGCAAGCCAAGCCAAGCCAAGGCATGGAAGGCCAAGCCAACCAAGCAAGCAAGCAAGCAAGCAAGCAAGCAGGCAAGCAAGGCCTTGCGAGAGCCACCCACGCTAGGCCTTGTTAAACAGACTTCAACACCAGCGGTTGGCGATGCTGACGCGGATAAAGACAGCCGAGTCTTGCTTTGAAGAGGCTGTTGATGCTGCCGCTGCGTCTGCTTGACAAGACTTGGGGGGTCACCGCCAACTCGCCTGAGAAGAGAGCATTGCAGCAGCCCAGGACATCCGAGTCTCGCTTTGAAGAGGTTGTTGACGCTGCTGCTGAGCCTGCTTGCCAAGACTTGAAGAGTTGCTTGTACGTAGGCGGTCATTTGGATGTTTGCCGTTCTATTCGGCTGGGAAGAGAGCATTGCAGCAGCCCAGGACATCCGAGTCTCGCTTTGAAGAGGCTGTTGATGCTGCTGCTGAGCCTGCTTGACAAGACTTGGAGAGTTGATTGATTGTATGCAGGCAGACATGTTTGGTTGTTGGCGCCATTCGGCTGGGAAGAGAGCATTGCAGCAGCCCAGGACATCCGAGGCTTGCTTTGAAGAGGCTGTTTTTTGCTGCTGCTGAGCCTGCTTGACAAGACTTGGAGAGTTGATTGATGTATGCAGGCGGACATTTTTGGTTGTTGGCGCCATTCGGCTGGGAAGAGAGCATTGCAGCAGCCCAGGACATCCGAGGCTTGCTTTGAAGAGTCTGTTGATGCTGCTGCTGAGCCTGCTTGACAAGACTTGGAGAGTTGATTGATGTATGCAGGCGGACATTTTTGGTTGTTGGCGCCATTCGGCTGGGAAGAGAACATTGCAGCAGCCCAGGACATCCGAGGCTTGCTTTGAAGAGTCTGTTGATGCTGCTGCTGAGCCTGCTTGCCAACACTTGGAGAGTTAATAATTCATACGCAGGCGAACACGTTTGCTTGGCTCGGCTGGAAAGAGAGCATTGCAGCAGCCCAGGACATCCGAGTCTTGCTTTGACGAGGCTGTTGATGCTGCTGCTGAGCCTGCTTGACAAGACTTGGAGAGTTGACGGCATCTAGGTGGTCACTTTTGGATGTTTGCTGTGCTACTCGGCTGGGAAGGGAGCATTGCAGCCCAGGACATCCGAGTCTTGCTTTGAAGAGGCTGTTGATGCTGCTGCTGAGCCTGCTTGACAAGACTTGGAGAGTTGATTGATTGTATGCAGGCAGACATGTTTGGTTGTTGGCGCCATTCGGCTGGGAAGAGAGCATTGCAGCAGCCCAGGACATCCGAGGCTTGCTTTGAAGAGTCTGTTGATGCTGCTGCTGAGCCTGCTTGACAAGACTTGGAGAGTTGATTGATGTATGCAGGCGGACATTTTTGGTTGTTGGCGCCATTCGGCTGGGAAGAGAGCATTGCAGCAGCCCAGGACATCCGAGGCTTGCTTTGAAGAGTCTGTTGATGCTGCTGCTGAGCCTGCTTGACAAGACTTGGAGAGTTGATTGATGTATGCAGGCGGACATTTTTGGTTGTTGGCGCCATTCGGCTGGGAAGAGAGCATTGCAGCAGCCCAGGACATCCGAGGCTTGCTTTGAAGAGTCTGTTGATGCTGCTGCTGAGCCTGTCTGGCAAGACTTACGTAGAGAGTCGATTCTATGTGATCGTTGGCTGTTGACTGGCTTTTTGTTTTTCAAGCCAAGCTGGCTTAAAGCCTGACAAGTGATGCAAGTCGTTGCTCGGCGATGACATGTCAACCGACTCTATGATTCTTCACCCCATGTTCTTCGGTTCTTGCGGAGCAAGAGGCTGCGTAGCTTATGTCAAAACTCATCGCTTGGGCCATGTCATGCTGGGTCTGGGCGACTAGATTGTAGAATCATTTTGCTTGGCCGATCTTCGCCTGCCCTTAGAAGCAATCGAACCGGGATCCCTGACTATACTTGCAACTCCCAGTGCCCGGAGTCATGGTGAATGAGGCTAGCGTTGGCAACCATTTTCTGCGGGGGAGTCTCCTTTGGTTATTCCCACTTGCTTGGACCCTCTGAGAAATTGTACTTACTGCAAAGCCATATGGACCCAGCGATCCGAATCTCAGACGAGGGTTTGTGGGGTTCCATATGGCGTTGTCTCAAAACGTGGGAACCTCCAAAACGGTTGGTTTCCTTTTGGCTTCCCTTTAAACCGGGTCAGAAACGGTACCCTCCAAAAAGGAAGACAGACGAGGGGGTCTTCACCATTTGCACCCTTCTCCGTCAAAAGCTATGGGTGGTCAAAATTAAACCAGCAAACGACCATGTGGCCACTTACCAGGGTGCCATTTTGGGGTTACATGGTCCCTGGCCCGAGGTTACATGGTCCCTGGTAAGTGGCACCATTTTGTTATTTTTGACAACAACAGCGGCCCAAGCCCGAGGTGCCCCGGCAGAGACGGAGCCGGATCCCTCCGGCGCCGGAGGCGGCGCTCCAGCGGCCGCGCCGGAGGCCGCGGCAGGCCGGGTGCAGACGTCGAGCTGGTAGTGGGTGTGCTTGGGTTTTTTTGGGACCCCCCCCCAAAATAACATAAAATTATAAGCTCAGGTGATATCCCCAACAGCATGCGGTGCTCTTTTTAGTGCTCGCACCACCCTGCAGCCCTCGCAGAACCTCATGGATCCCTGGTGGAACCCTCGTGGAACCTTACCTCAGGGCCGCCCCGGACCACCCCGGAGCCTATCTGAGCTGAGACCCCAAAGCTTTCAGCTGTTGGGAAAAATAGAAGAAGTGGTTTTCCTTGGTTTCCCTGGCAAGCCATGCAACAGTTGGCTGCCCCCAAAAAACACAACCCCCCTTTTCCTTTTGGAAGACTCTTTTCCCACCAAACAGTTTTTTTGTTTGCATGGGGTGCTAAGACCAAGAGAAGCGCCCCTTGCCGTTGGGTTGTCCTAAATCTGACCAATTACTGTACATTGCATGCTTTGAAGACGTTTGTTTGTTTTGCTTCGGGTACCTTGTTGCGTTGTGAAGGGAAATCAAAAAGATAACCCGGCCATTGCAAGGGGGTTCCACTATTTGGAGACATGTTTGGTTCCCGCAATGGTGCCGCGCCTCATCGCTCGCTTTCTTTGCACAGGCGAGGCGCCCAGTGCTGAACCCGGCAGTGCTGAACCCGGCAGTGCTGAACCCGGCAGTGCTGAACCCGGCAGTGCTGAAGGCGGGGCGGAGTTGGGCAGGTGGGTTTTCTTTTGGTGTCCCTTGAAACACCAACCAACACGGGCTTCTCCAAAAGAGACGACCCCATATCAAGCTCCATGCCTGCAACATACATACATTTTGACTTGCCATTGGCAATCCTTTGGTGGACACTTCGGTGATTGATGCCCACCAATGATGTTTGCAGCGTTCGGTGGTGTGCCGTCCGAATGGACATGGGGCCTTAGCAACAGCCTGGGATTTTCCTTGTCTGCCACTTGCGTTGCGCGACTTCGCCACATCTGCTTATAGGCCGAGGGGACAGTTACAAGAAAGGTGCTGCCGGTTTGCAGATCCTTCTGGTTTGGCTAGGTGGCTCCCAGCCATCCTTCTGGTTTGCAGATCCTTCTGGTATCTGTTTAAGCTTTTAGAGCTTCGTGATGATTGCATTTGACCCACTAAAGGTTACACTTTTGGCAGGGGATCTGCGGCCAGCCCAGCTGGGTCGACTGGCAAGCGTACAGGCGCGCAGCCGCAACCGGCAGAGCCGGCGACCACAGGCGGGGGCGGATGGGGCGGGGGGAGGGGGGAGGTCGGTTGCGGGTTTGAGTGGAGGGGTTTGAAGGGTTTCAGGAGTTTGCGCAGGCTGAGAACAGCTACCTCATTTTTCCACAAGAATGATCCCGTCGTTGGGCCGTTCGTGGAGGGTGGCTTGTCTAGGAAGCTCCCACCTCAAACAGGTGATGGGAAGGTGCGACTCTGCGGCGGCGAGGGTGGTTGACGTTGTCAAAAACAGCCATGAGGGGATGGATGACAAATGAACTTTCGACAGCTGACCAAAAAGGGGACAATTACTCTCATGTCCATTAACGTGGAACCCACCAGGTCCATTTAAGAGGAACATGGTCTTCCAGGGCTATGGGAGGGTAAATCTCCCGGAAGCTTCAAGCTCACCCTTTTTTGTTGTCCACGCCGGGATTCCAGGTCCCGTTTTGTTTTTTGTTTTAGTTGTCGCAAACTCTGGGCGCTGAACTGGACTGGTTTCCCGCTTCCGTGACCTGGACCTCCGTGCCCCGGTGTTTTTGTTGTTTTTTGACGGAGCCCCTGTAAACTCAACCAAAGACAGGGGGGAATTCCTCCATTTTTCGCACAGAAATCCACCGGTCTGGAGGTCGGTTGATTCCCAGCTGAGCTTGTGGGATTTCGCTGGAAGGCACATAGAGGACCGGCTGCGGTTTGTTTCCTGGTTGTCCCGAGGTTTGCGGCCCAGGGTTATGCTGAAAGGACAAGGAACAAAAGGAAGCTTATGACCTCCAAGGCTCCAAGGCCTACGGCTCCCTGGTGAATCTGGGCTCTTTTGACATTCAGATTCATGTTAAGTTCCCGAACTCCGGACCGTCACCCGAATCCGACCATTTTTTGGGGCAGGGCAACAGCCGAGGACTCGAACCGACCGACGCCTCTTTCGAGCGACAGGCGCGCCAACCGAGCCGGCGGCCTCCGCGCCGGAGGAAGCGCCAGGCATCGAGCGAGCCCAGATCGAGCCCGAGGAAACCATCCCCGATTTGGTGTCCTAAGGGACGCCCCAAGACCGGCTCGTTCCCAAAACCCGGGAAGGGGGCATTCAGGGAGCAGCAGGCAGCTTAATGTTGACCCCCAGATGAATACATCTCTATTTCTTAATATGGACGTGAATGTGGGTACTGGGGATTCATTCACTTTTGGACGGGCCCTCCCATATCAATAAATAGTGGTTTACTAGTCCGGAGTCACCCAGGAAACAAAAAGGGTATTAATGGTATTAGTTTATTCTTTTGTCCGGAGCGCCTTGGCATCCAGAGATCCTTTCCTTTGGAGCCCTTGCCATGGAAATCCATAAGGGATTGGGACCTATGGGTATGTGTCAAAGTGGGGGGACCCCCCCCCAAAAAGAGGAAGTGGCATCCCTTTTGGTTTCCTGAACCAAGGTGAACCGGGTACCCTAGTCATCTAACTCCAGTTGGGTCCACTTAACAGGGTGCATAATATAAGAGGTTCGGTCAACATCTCCAGTATGGTCCATTTGGGGACATAGGGGACACCGATTTTCCTAGAAAGCTGTCTCAGACTGAGGAAACCAAGGATGTTTGACCGTGGCACGTGCAGTTCCCGCTTGTGGGTTGTGAATCAGGGAACGGCATGAAACGATAGGTTTAAACCAGCGGTGGCTTTAACTCCCATGTCCTCAAACAAAAGGGAGCCTAAAAGGACACCCGCCATGTTAAGGTGTTCCCCCATTTTTGGGACACTCGAATATCTTTGAGGAGTGCCAGGCCATGGACGAAATCCTGCACCGCCTAAGACCGCCTTGGAATGATTCCCCTGTAGATACCAACAAACAATGGTTTCCCATGGTTCTTAAATGGTGCAGGAGTTCGTCCATCCACAGTATGGGGTAACACCAAAGGGCTCAAATTTCAGGTCCGTCATGTGAGTTCGACGTTTCGGCTGTTCTGGCCATGGACCCTTCAAGGGGCTTGGGGAATCCTGGTCACATTTATTGGGAATCTCAGCTGGCAGCAACAAACCTTCACGTGATATGCGTCCATTGGCCGAAATCCTAGATCTGATATCATGCATAAGCAGTGTGTCATTTATCTTGACACGTTTTGAGGTTTTCGGAGTTCTGTTCCTTTGTCAACGGATACAAACATATGAAAAAACAAAACAAGGATGTGAGCATATTATTTCAACATTTTGACATGGTCTCCTTTACATAGTCCTGGGACATCCCCGCTCCCCCCATATCCCCGCGAATTTGCTTTCCCAAGGCTGTAGGTGGAATATGCGGTGTGCCCCTTCTGGTTCGCTGTCAGAGCCGTGGGCCCCGTAGGCGAAGTGCTGGGTGAGGGCCGGGGCAACGAAGGCCCTGCGAAAACGGGGTGAAAGCGAAGACGGGTGCGGAGACGCCGCCGCAAAGTGGTTGAGTTGGTTTTTAATTACTTTGGTTCAGTGTGTTGGTTTGTGGCTACTTTGGATGAATTTGGGTGTGTTAGCTGTTTGGGTTCTTTGGTCTTGTTTGGGATTCATTTACCCATAGTGAGAATACCAGGATGTTTGCGACATGTATGCTTTCATAATTTCACACTGGCCAGAGAAAAGGGCTCAATCATCGACTCAGGCATGTAATTCCAAGTTCCTGGAGACTCAGGAGCCCATGGAGCCCGTCGGCCGATGTAGATCGGACTGCTCCGCCCAGCTTTTGATGTTCTGGCTTCACCTCTGCCAAATATGTTTTTCCCTTTCTGGTTTTCCTGTTGCCTTGATGCCCAGCGGACATTGCCACCTGGGCAATCAGAGGCTAGGGGAACTTGCCACGCATCTGCCGGCTGTGGCGGCTTTCTGATATCGGCTAGATCGGTTTGGGGTCAGATTCCGTCAGCAATATCCATGATCTTTAAGCCCATGACCCTTTTCTGGTTTCAACTAGGCCACCCACCTGTTGACCAACCCACAAGCAGGCCTGCAGGAGTCGGAGGTGTGGTTCTGACTCAGCTTCAAGGCTCAGAGGCTCCAGGACGTGAATGAGCAACTGGCTGGGCTGAACGGGCGATATGTTCGCAAACGATCAGATGACCATTTACCCACTTGCCAACCAAGCGAGAGCAAGATGGAGGTTTCCTCTCAACATGGTTGTTGTTGGGAAACATTTTACATCATTTTACATTTTTGCTTATTGCGGTTTGGTGGTTGAAATCCCCACTTGACTGCTAAGATGTAAATTATTGCTCCCCTTCCAACGTCAACCAAGTCAAATGCCAGGCAAATTCCTGCAGGACATGGATGGCTCTGCTACCCATGGTTTCCCTTGTTAAGTTGGAGGTAAGCAACAGCCTTGGCCAGGTGGCGCCGGGTGAATTGGCAGAGGCGCGCACAACAAGGGGGGTGGGGTGGTTGTAACCCTCGGAATCAAAGGTTGCAACCTTGAAAGGCTGTCTGAAGGAACCCGAAAAGGAACCTCCTTTTCGGGTTTTTCCAGACAGACATCTCTCATTTGAAACCTCCAAAAGTGGCGATCGTTTCAATGGAAACCATGTCAGAGTAATTCTTCATGGCTAAAACTCTCCACCGCTATATTTTCCGGTCAATGGCTTTCATTCAGGACTAGCATCACGGTGCTCAGAAGCCTCAGAGCTGCTCAGAGCAACGAACCTTGGGGCGTGGGGTGCGTTGGGTTACCAAATGAGCCCAAACCAAACCTCCGGTAAGGATGTTCAGCTTGGAGCAAAGCGAGGTTTGAACTTGGTTGTCTTTGGTACCACCATTTTCCTGTGTCTTGTCGAGAAACCGGCCTGAGAAACCGGCCCTATGAACTGGGGGGGATGTGTCCCTGGGTTCAGTGGGGATTCATCACCTTTGGAGGGGGCCCACCCACCAAGGTTGGAAGCTGTTTATCAATGGAACCCTCCCCTCCCTGAAAATGTCACCAGATACATATTAGAGGCATGGCTCCTCTTCCCAAATGGCATAGCAGACGATCTCTCGAATGTGCCTTTGAAATATGCAGTGGACACTTTTTGAAGCCAGAATTCCTCTGGTTTCGAAGTCGACGGAAACCTGGATGTGTACTTTGAAAACAAATCTATTTGGTTTGTCTCATGGGGGAGGCCCCTGACGAGGTTTTGGACTTCCTTTGGAATTCGCCAAAGCCTTTTGCTCTACCCCAGGAGTTGCCCCCGAAACGGGGGGCAGATCCAGATGAAGGCCCGACGTAGCAGGGGGATTCACTCGCAGCCATCGGCGAAATTCGCCCCATGGATCGGCACAAGCTGGGCGAAGGCGACCTCCTACTGTGGATGGACGAAATCCTGCACCACTTGGAAACCAATGGGAAACCATTGTTTGTTGGTATATGAACCAACCAGGGGGGTTCTTCTCTCATCTCCATGCCATACACATCAGCTAGGTCCCCCAGTGCCCTTCTCTCTCAACTTTTTTGGTTGGGAGATTCGCTTCCCCTACTAAAAAAGGCTACAGCAAGAAAATCGGGTACCAACTCATTCTAACCTCTCTACTGGAGGACCTAGTCACGGAATCAGGGGGTCCCCTTTAAAGGAACCCAGTCCAAACCAGGACCCGAAGGTCAGTTTCCAACGTGCAAAGCTGCGAGCGTGCCGAGCCCCCGAGGCACGCCCTGCAGGCTTCGGCCCAAGGCGAAGCGCAGGCAGGGAGTGGTCGCAACTCTTCGAGCGTCAAAGAGGACACAGCGGTGGTTCTCTTGTCTTTGCGGCTTGCCAAGTGCACTGAGGGCACGGCGCTTTGAGGGGTGGGGGGGGGGGGGGGGTGAAAAGCAAGTCCAGATAAAACAGCGGTGGTTCCTCGAAAGGGAACTGGGTGTGGTTATGCAGGTTTTAGCTTTTGGTCCCATTTGCTAAGGTGCGATTTCTGGCACATTTGTTTGACAGCCAAGTGTCGCAGGGCTTTAAGTCTTTTTTGTGGTTCTGAGCGTGGCGCACGATTGCACTCGACGATGCCTCATTTAAGACCGAGGGGGTGCCTTTTGCAACTTCCGAGCAACATATGATCCGTTTGGAAGAGCCCGTAAAGGCGTCTATGGGAGGTCCATCCCGGGATAAGCAGGCTGAGCCCTGCTAGCCCAGTATGCTGTGTGCAGCAGCTTAGAACTCATTTTCATTTTGGGTGTGCCTTTTCTGCAAGCGAATTTGGTTTAGAGGCAAAACCATTTCAACTTGTTGGAAGCTGCTTAGGTTCACCCAAGTTAGTGTGAGGCTTGACGGGCCATTCAATTCACAGATCCTCCAAAGTTGAATTGGGGCATGGCTGGCCTCTGGGATTTGTTTCAGGTCTGGTGCCATTTTTCCTTGGGGAAGACAAGCAACCTGGATAAAGAGATGACCCACGTGCCACGGGCACAGGACTCTGTTGCAGGAAGTCCTGAAAACCAAATTCCCCAAAAAGAAGACCCGCGAATTTGACCCTAAGTGTCCACCACATGGACCGCTTAAAGTAGCTTCGGAGAAGGTCGCAGCCATTGAGGCGGCGTGCTGGAAGAGCAAGCGAACTGTGTGTCACCCGCTTTGGACAAAAGGCAGCGCGGCGGGCGGGGTCAGCTGCTATTGATTTCTTGAATATTGCAAGCAAGCCAACCAGAAACCATGGCAAATTCCAAGGTCAACAGCATGCTAAAGGGGATTATGTATGACTAGTGGTTTTTCACGAGGCTGTTGGTCACTTGAGGCTTCACAAAGTCTGAGATCACGTGTTTGGGAGTTTGTGTTCACATGTTGGCCTCGAAGAACATATGGGTGAACAAGAGGCTCTGCCCGAAATGGGTTCCAACAAAGAGGTTCCCGTTTGACCATCACGCGTGTGTAGCATCCAATCGAGCCCTTGGTATGAGTCCATTCGGGGTAAGGTTCCCTCCTTTTTCCTTGCCGGAATATAGAAATCGCGTTGCGCTTTCTTTCGCCTTTTGGGCTTCCTTCGTCACCCTCTCTCTCTCTAGGCACTTCCTGTGGACGACCGGGGCTTCAAGAGGAAACCAGTTCAACACCCTCACCGGTCATCTTCCATGATTCTCCTCACCCTGAGCTCACGGACAAGAAATAAACTTTAAGGGAAGACCAGGTTGGTGGCAAGCCTAAAGTTCAAACCACACTTCTTGGGCCAGTCCGCCCAAAAAATGTGCGGCTCCTTTTGACCAATTCGCCGGCCGGATCGATCGTTTCGCCGAAGTCGGCGGAGTCGGCGGTTTCCCGTTAGCCTGCGAGTGCCCAAGCGTGCGAAAGCTGGCACGAAGTGCCACGGCCAAGCGCGCCGAGGCGGTCGGGGGTGGGGGGTTGGGGTTGGGGGGTTGAGGGGGTTGGGGGGTGGTAGGGTTGGGGGGTTGGGTTGCCTAAAGGTCGTTTTTTTTTTGTGCATGTTGACAATATCACATGTTACCCATGGATTTAGAGGATTTGTGTTGTGAAACATGTGATTGCGGGATGTATCTTTTGCGGAACCTCATTGGTCAGATATGTTTGGTGTTCCCAGAAAATCCCAGAAAAGGGTGGTGAGCACATGGATTTGCCTTCTTTTGGAGGGTAATTACCCGTCATTGTGGGTGGTTGTGAAGGGAAGTCGAAGCGAAAGATCTATTTTTAGCACAAATTGCACACACATGTTGCCAATCAGAGGGGGTTCTCTTTCTCATCCACCCTTCAGAAGGGATTTTGACCAATTAACAACCATTAGGCAGGGTTTCTTGGAACCTGCGAAAGTGGCAGTTTTAAGACAAGTACATTGCAACCTTTGAAGGAGAAATCCAGTGACTCAGTGACCGCTGGTTCTCATTGCAGCAATTGGAGATTCGACCACCCATCAGTCATACGGAATGGGCCCCAGTGCGTGCCAATGTTGGCAACCAAGTTTTGACCAGGTATCCAAAGGTTCCAAGTTAGGAATAGTTAGGATGTACTCGAGGGTTTTTAAATGGGTCTTTTTTTGGGGGGAACCCTCTTTTGGTTGGTTTTCAAGGGAAACTAAAGGACACCCATCACTTTGGGGGTCCTGGACATCATGGGCTTGCTTACATCAACTGGCTTTTGGGACCCGGATATGGGTCCAACGGGCGGTTGTCTAAGGCTCGGTACCCCAAAATCGGGGTTGTCGCTCGAACGGGAACCTGAGTGCTTATAGCCCACGTCAGTTTCCTCAAAAAGGAAGCCCAAAATCGGTATGGGTGATCATAGCATTCCAGACCCCCTTGATGTTGATTCCAGCTGAAGGAAGCCCTGCTTCACTAGTAGGGGGGTGTCCCCTTGTAGGGATTCATCACTTGAGGGGACCCCCCCTCCTTCTGTAATAGGATGTCTACTTAGATCCGGGTCAACATGCATGATCTAACACCCCTCCCCCATGTGCGTGTGTAAACAAAACAAACGGGTACTCTGGTAATGAGCCTCAAACGCCACCGAGTTAATCAAGAGTAGGTTTAGTTTTTTGTTGGCTTTCAAGGGAATCCATTTGGTTCCCCCTCCATGTGCGTGTGTCATTTGAACAAAAGGTACTCTGGTAGTGAGCCTCAAAGGCCCATTTGGTTCAGAGTATGTTTTTCGTTTTCCCCTATTGGGAATCTATCACCGGACATCTGCCCCCCCCCCACCGAGTTGATCAAGAGTAGGTTTAGTTTTCTGTTGGCTTTCAAGGGAATCCATTTGGTTCCCCCCTCCATGTGCGTGTGTCATTTGAAAAAAGGGTACTCTGGTAGTGAGCCTCAAAGGCCCATTTGGTTCAGAGTATGTTTTTCGTTTCCCCCTATTGGGAATCTATCACCGGACATCTGCCCCCCCCCCACCGAGTTGATCAGAGTATGTTTTTCGTTTCCCCCTATTGGGAATCTATCACCGGACATCTGCCCCCCCCCACCGAGTTGATCAAGAGTAGGTTTAGTTTTCTGTTGGCTTTCAAGGGAATCCATTTGGTTCCCCCCTCCATGTGCGTGTGTCATTTGAAAAAAGGGTACTCTGGTAGTGAGCCTCAAAGGCCCATTTGGTTCAGAGTATGTTTTTCGTTTCCCCCTATTGGGAATCTATCACCGGACATCTGCCCCCCCCCCACCGAGTTGATCAAGAGTAGGTTTAGTTTTCTGTTGGCTTTCCTAATCCATTTGGTTCCCCCCTCACCGGACATCTGCCCCCCCCCCACCGAGTTGCGTGTGTCATTTGAAAAAAGGGTACTCTGGTAGTGAGCCTCAAAGGCCCATTTGGTTCAGAGTATGTTTTTCGTTTCCCCCTATTGGGAATCTATCACCGGACATCTGCCCCCCCCCACCGAGTTGATCAAGAGTAAGTTTAGTTTTCTGTTGGCTTTGGAATCCATTTGGTTCCCCCCTCCATGTGCGTGTGTCATTTGAAAAAAGGGTACTCTGGTAGTGAGCCTCAAAGGCCCATTTGGCTCAGAGTATGTTTTTCGTTTTCCCCTATTGGGAATCTATCACCGGACATCTGCCCCCCCCCCACCGAGTTGATCAAGAGTAGGTTTAGTTTTCTGTTGGCTTTCAAGGGAATCCATTTGGTTCCCCCCTCCATGTGCGTGTGTCATTTGAAAAAAGGGTACTCTGGTAGTGAGCCTCAAAGGCCCATTTGGCTCCATATTGGGAATCTACATCTTCGAGTTGATCAAGAGTAGGTTTAGTTTTCTGTTGGCTTTCAAGGGAATCCATTTGTTCCCCTCCATGTGCGTGTGTCATTTGAAAAAAGGGTACTCTGGTAGTGAGCCTCAAAGGCCCATTTGGTTCAGAGTATGTTTTTCGTTTCCCCCTATTGGGAATCTATCACCGGACATCTGCCCCCCCCCCCCGAGTTGATCAAGAGTAGGTTTAGTTTTCTGTTGGCTTTCAAGGGAATCCATTTGGTTCCCCCCTCCATGTGCGTGTGTCATTTGAAAAAAGGGTACTCTGGTAGTGAGCCTCAAAGGCCCATTTGGCTCAGAGTATGTTTTTCGTTTTCCCCTATTGGGAATCTATCACCGGACATCTGCCCCCCCCCCACCGAGTTGATCAAGAGTAGGTTTAGTTTTCTGTTGGCTTTCAAGGGAATCCATTTGGTTCCCCCCTCCATGTGCGTGTGTCATTTGAAAAAAGGGTACTCTGGTAGTGAGCCTCAAAGGCCCATTTGGCTCAGAGTATGTTTTTCGTTTTCCCCTATTGGGAATCTATCACCGGACATCTGCACCCCCCCCCCCGAGTTGATCAAGAGTAGGTTGAGTTGTCTGTTGGCTTTCAAGGGAAGCTATCACCGGACATATTCGCGCCCGCCCCTTTCCGCCTCGGATCGGGTCGCCAGTCCCGATCCGATCTCAGGCCATGGCGATGTATGAGGCGATGGATCGCCCGGGATCCGAAAGATCCGATCGGGCTTTGGGAGGGCGCTTTCCAGGATTGGTGGGGCTTTGTGGGGTTTTGTTGCTTCTGTTCAGGTCGCAGGTCGTGCTGGTTGCTTTTTTTGGGTTGGGATGTGATTTGGGATTTGAAAATTTGGGATGTGATTTGGTTACTTGGGATGTGATTTGGTCGCCGCCGAAGCGCCGGACGCAACGGCTCGGTGTCCCGTTGTCCATGGGACAAACTGGAGGCCCATTGGGGAGGATCGAAAAGCAAAAACGAGCTGAAGGAAGCTGCACGGGGACCGGTCCAACCAGGAACCCTTCAGGCCCGAGTGGTTTTGGTTTTCGGGAGAATTGGTTTCTTGGGAAACACCCAGGTTGAAAGGCAAAGGCGGGTTGGAAGGGGGGCATCGTCAAGAAAGTGAAGAAGTGAAGGGGCATGTCGGCCCCTGACTCGTTGAAATGGGCGGGGTAGGGGGCATTCTGGCAACAATTCTCCTGGAGCTATGGTCAAGTTGGGGTCAATATCCCCTGTCTTTGCGATGGTGGGAATGGAGGAGAAGAGGGAAACCAATTCCTGACCAATGTACCGAGTGACCCGCGCGAAAATGCCTTAGTGCCGATTTCGGGCCGGCTAGGCATGGTCTGTTCTTGGCCATGGGCCAGTCTCAGGCTTTCATGTGGCAGAGTGGGGGTCTACGGGTGGCTGGTGGTGTTTGGAACTATCACCCCTTCGAGTGCTGGGAAGTGGAGACTCACGCGATACGTGTTCAGCGGTTGACCTGACCTCGATCAAATCTGCTTCTCATTACTGTCTTTCCTTCTCGTTTCTTCTCCTCTTTCAACCAATTTGCCACTTATTATCCATCAAATAAAGTTAGAGGTTCATGAGGGCGCCATGTTCGACGGAGACGACCAACCCGGGCATGGACAAGAGCAACGGCTGGGCATGAGTTTTTGTGGAGAACCAAAACTGGCCACCAAAATGCGTTTGAGTTGAGCAAGGGTCACCATACTCAGTTTGTCATTTGTCTGGAGGAATCTCCGGAATTGACCCCTTCCTCCCACCTAACATGCCACCACAAGGCCCGCTGCGGAGGAAACTGATCTTCCAGGTACCCTCAAATATTTCGCCGGCAGGATCCCCTCTTGGGATCGAGGGGGGCCGTGTTGTTTTTTCTTTCTGCCAGCGCAAACCGCGGCTTGGCAAAAACGG